AAGCTCAAATACATGTGTGTACAACATAACAATCAATAACAATCCCCGTGTTTTACAACAGCACAAACCCAGCACCGCAATTCTTAATTTTGGGCTGTGGTGTTCTTAGTATTCCAGGCTGGATGTTCTAGGCTTCCACGCTCTTGGGCGCACAACTTTACTGTGCCGAAGAATATTTTCAGCCAATGAACCCAGTGCTTGGTGGCAGATGAGTGTCATGGAACAGCATTTTGCATGTGGCCTTCACTACATGCACATGTACAACGTTCAATTGATTCGGACTTTTGCAGTTATGAGCAAGGTCCCCACGAATGGTCATGTCACTTCACAGAATACATGAACTGATAGAGTAGACCTCGGTCCCCTCAGAGAACGCTTGGGGAAGTCGGTTTCAACTGAGGACATGTCCAAAACCATGCAAAGTACTTGAGCTACTCATGAACCCCACAATTATCAGGCCCGCCGGAACCAGTCTGGTTGGTCAGGTTATCACCGGACCAACTTGTTGGCCACCAACAAATGTTTCCTGCTGTGATGGACGTGTGTACCTGCCATATCACACACAAAGTATAAAAGGCCATGAAACTACCGGACCAATCAAAAGCTGCTTCCGGCGGTACTGATTAAAGTACAGGTTTAAAAAGCGGCTCCATTTTTGTCATACATCAAACCAACTCTGTCATTGCTATGCTCTCAAAAAGAGTAGTGATTTTTATTCACAAATGAATCACAATGCTATAAGAGAAATTCGATATTCTCCAATTTTAGGGGCGCTGCAGTACTATGCAAAAATTAATGTTGCTTGGTCATTGTTATGAAGCAGTCACCTCAGTACAGCAATTAAACAGGCTGATTATGTGAACGAGATTCACGGCAAATCTTCTTCCATCAGTGCTGTTTAGTCTTGAGTGGTCCACTGAGGCAGGAAAACAACCTGTTCGGTTCTTCCATGCGAGAAACAGAAATTGAACATGTTCCAGGGTGGAGGTGGCGAGTATCGGCAATGTAATGCACCTTTAGGCCAACACGACCATCATTCTGACATGGATTCTCAAACACCTTCGCTCGTGAGAGTGCCTCAGAGTGGTATTCATCAACAGATGGCAATCCTGTAAAACACATGAAAAGACATAGCAGCAACACAAAGAAACCTAATGTTATAAAAACGAATTCGAAAAACAAAGTCTACTGAACCAAGGTACAACCACACTCCAGGAGGCAAGCAAAAGTGCATATAATCCGAAGGTTGCGATGCCTGTATGTATTGTATTTATGTATTAAATGGATTCTCCACAGGCCTTAGCCTAAATCGAGGGAGTCTCTGTCATGCCACACTGGATACAACACGCTACCAGAATCACTTTCCCCAGTATTGATGATCTTTTCTTAGGGTGTTATATAAAACACATCTGTAGCCACTTCATCTTGCTCACGAAATCATACACCACCACATAAACGGGCCCTTCGGCTATTTTACTTTGGGTGGTGATGTATGATAATTATTGATAATAGGGCTGAAACGATTATATCGGTTATCCGTCTAATCGATCATTACAAGGAAACGATTTCGATTACGCTGTCTGTTTCGATTACGCGATTCTAAAAAAAAGAAAACGTTTGCGAGAATCAAAAGATGTCATGTACAGCACTACTAGATACTATACTTTGTCCTTTTCCTCGTTTCTTTTTGTTGTCCATATGTTTTCCAGTAGGGCTGTGAAAAAAACTTAAAAAAACTGACTGTCTGCACCTGCACGTGATGTGCCACTGCATTGTGTAGAGTACGGGGTTTATCTGCATGTGTGTCAACACGGCATGCTTTGTGCTGGTCTGGCGCGACAATTTCTAGGACACAGTAATCGATATCATAATCGATAATCGAATCGATGCAAGGGTAGGTTAACCGATAGTTGAAAAGTGTAATCGGTTCACCCCTAATTGATACCATATCCAAGTCTGACTCGCACCGTGAGATCCTGGCAACAATATTACCTGGTACATGATATATTCAGACACTGACATAAACATCTTTTTGGAACAACACGTGTGCCTATCTGCTAGAGTAATGTGACACACATGCAGAATCAGTCATAGCTAATTTTACCCCCTCACTGTTGTATGCGCAGACTCTACTTCGCGGTGTCAAGTACTCTTCTTTCGGTGGGCTACTCCACTCAGGCGCTTGTCTTAAAGGACTCACATTCATCCTGCAAACCTACGCGACTAGCATAGTTTTCACTGTCGGCCGAAGTGCGTGCATTGCATACATTGAGATTCACTCCCTCCGTACAGGCCAGTACAGAGCTGCCCACCAATTGAGTCTGTTTTGCGTACTCAGACTCAGTCTGATTTTCCGTATCTTGCAGTGTGTTGCGTACTGCCGTGTACATTGCATGCATACTTGCACTACAAAGGTTTTTTGACACGCACATGCATGTCAGTGGCTGCATTTGGTAGTGTAAAACATGTGTGACTTGCACTCACGACATTATTTGTTGTGCTACATGTACATGTTGTCGTGGTACGGCATGCACTCGCTTTGGTACAAGACTATTCATCGCTCAGCTTACACTTGCAATGCTTCTACACAGCTGATTGATCCTCTTCGATTTTCTATACCATTTGCTCAAATTCTGTAGTGCGGACAAGGAGTGATTTTCCGTACAAATACAGAAAAATATGGAGGGCTGGTACTTGGTAGCACTGCTAGTATGGTTGTGCCAGGCTAAGCTGGCTGGAAGATCAAATACTTTTTTGGTTCTTTCAGTCATTTTCACGACTATATTTTCTTTATCATGATCCCCGGGGTGTGACGTTCTTACGAGTGCAGAAACTCAGTCTTTCTAACCGAGTCTCACGTCCACTGTGAATTTGTTCTTCTTTTATTCACACTGCCATGTATCGATTCATCGCTTCTTCCCACCCGAGATCCTGTGCAACAGCGATTTAAAGATTGGCTTTATCAAATAGTGATCAGAGAGAGAGAGAGGATCAGTTGTCGCTGCTGTGACAGCTGCATAGAGTGTAGATTGGTGCAAACATCATTGCCCAGCAGAACCGTATTCATAGGGACCTGCGTTTAGCATTTGGAAGCTGTTTTTTAGAATTTGTACAGGCCCAATAAGCCTGGAGAGAAGAACACCTAACTTAGACTATCCTAACGTTATCGAACGCACTGCCAAAGTAAAAACAACATTTGAAATGCAGACTCGATCGTGCATGCATGGAGGGCATGGGGAAGAGACGGAGAGGGTGAAAGCGAAGGAAATTTGTTCCGAAATCAAGAGAATCCGAGGAACCCTTGCTGCATTCTTCAGTACGATAACGTCAGTGGGTGCATCTCAGATGTGTTGTGCGACCAGACATACAAGTAGCACTAACCTGAGCATGAGAGCTGCTTGTCATCATCGTGGTCAGGAAAACGAAAGGACGAACGTAGAAGATTGCTGACCATGACGAACAACAGTGCATATCCAGACGACAGACGGCTTGCCAGAATCAGTCTGGTGCATCTTCAGGAATCGTCTTTCTTAATCGCATTCAGCAGTCAGCTTCGAGGTCAAGAACGCGATGATATTTTCAGAAGGAATAATTTTCAAAATTTTTTAAATTTTGGAGAAGAAGCTTCCTTTCTAAAAAAAAAAGCGTTCCTTGCTTTCACGCAAGGACCCCTTGCCGGACATGTCGTCGACAGCACAGTGTCGGCAGATCCACGTTTGTAGGCTGCAGACCCGGCAGACGTTTTGATCAGCCCGGCCTGGTGGTGAGATTTTGGACCCGGGAGTACTAAAAACTGCTCGCATCCCAGGGTGCTCAGTTTCGCTCTATCCGATCGAGTAAGGCTTCCAGAAAGGCCCTCAGGTGCGCGGCCTGCGGTGCCATAATATACCTCTACACGGCATGTCGTGAATCAGAAAACGTCTGTACGTGGGTCACTGAGTATCACGTGGTACACCCACGTAAAGTACCCACGGATTACGTGGGACCAGGGAGTCGTACTCAAACTAGTTTGAGTACGACTCCCTGCGTGGGACTAAACCTCCCTAATGGTATTGTACGAGGTGAATTGCTATTTCTGGACATTGTACATTTCTGGACATTTCGGGTAAAATAATATTTTGTCGCGTGTAGAGTCAAGTCAGTCAGGTTGATGAAGTTTTTTCTTGTTGTAGTTGACAGCTGGGCTGTTGTAGTTTCTCCTCGTGTCGGTGCCTTGTTGATAGCCTTTTCTTGGGAGGCATTTCAACGAGTTTTGTGGTACTATGTCGCATGAGAATTTTGAATTTTGAGTAAAATAAGAAGTAATGGACGAATCGTTGGCTTCCCCATGTGCACTCCACTTCAGACGCTGTATAGTCTTGGACCTGTTGGCTGGAAGTGTGAAGAGGCCAACTGCAGTCCACCAATAGAAAAAATAACAAAAATGGTGGAGTATAGGATGCCTATTGACGCTATTTTACTTTCATGTCCAGAATTCCATACACTGAAATTTAGGCCAAAAAATTGGCCCGTCGAAAACATCCTGCTATAAAGTCTCTGGGATCACAGCATGAGCAATTGTCACATATTTGGAAAGATGAAGGATTAGGCCATACAATAGATACAAAAAGATATGAAAAATGTAAAACACACGGCCAGTGGGCCTCTATTTTATTTTCGTGTCCAGAAATTGCTATTCACCTCGTACTACTCCCTGTGGAAAATAACACTATTTTTGTGATCACCACGGCATGGCGGCCATTTTAGGTTCTGGTTGCCATGGCAACGGATGCATTTTCTCTGCGTTTTGGGTTGTTTGGCTTTGATTTTTTAATTTTTTTTGCTAGGCCCTGTGACACGAATTTCTGTGCCGTGTCACCTCCCTAGTTTGATCCCCTGATTATAATGCACTGATTCGTGAAAATGAAAAATTAATAATTTTTGCTGAGTTTCTAGGTAACCAAGGTTACCGCGCATGCGTGTGGACTGAACGAACCCCAAATTTGTTGTACTTTCGCCTCCGTGGATTTTAGCTGGCCCGTTCTACTGTTTTCTTTCTTCTGGATTGTTGTCTTTGTTGCTGCAATCAACTTCCATCATGTCTGACGAACGTACCTTCATCATGATCAAGCCCGATGGCGTCCAGCGTGGACTCATTGGTGAGATCCTCGGACGATTCGAGCGCAAGGGCTTCAAGCTCGTTGCCATGAAGTTCCAGCAGGTAATTTTCAGGGGCTTTGTGAAGTGTGCTTTATTTTGTGTTCTTCCACGTGGGTTGTGGCCATTCATTTCCTGGTTCTACGCTCATTTTCCACTTGTGCCCACTCGTTCTGCTTGAACTGTGTGTGCGCTTACTACTACTGTACTAGTCCTGGCCCTGGCCCTGGGCACCGTTCTAACCCTGATCGAAAAGACAGTGTACCGGAGAGTGCTTTGCTCATAAATTGTGTTCACGTGCTTGATCCAATACAATTATTTCTACAAAAAATGTGTACAACATGTTTTGCTCGAGTTTAGGGTCACTCTGTCATTGCACTGTTTTGTTGATCGGTTGACAGCATGTAACGATGATGTTACAGCGTGTTACAAGGCCGAAGACGCACTGCGTTGAAAACAGTGCTTCTGACTACGACCATCATCGGTTGGCAGAGCCCCGGTCTTGCGACCATTCGAACTGTACGGGGTCAGGCCCCGGTATCAGCCACAACATGCTGTCAACCAATCAACATGTTATTCTATCAGACAAGGCTTACTTATATCATACATTGTACTTACCGTAATACTTCTCGCTGCCACGCTATTTCGTTGTCTTTTTTTTTACCTCCACACAAAACTGCTATGCGGGTAGAATGTGCAACCCTTTTGCAATGTCATACTGGTAGCTGTGAAACAGTGCAAGACTTATCGGAGGGGGCTGGACTGTCCCTGCAGAATAACGCGGACAAACTCCTAAAATTATGCGCATAATTATGCGGGCGAAAACAGGCCATTATGCGGCAAATTGCGGTATAATGCGGTCGTTACGCACAAATTATATGTCATTTGTACAACTTTTAAAGCATGCAAGTATACAACTTTGTCGTACAAAGTTGTGCACCGGTACGACTTTGTAGTACGTTTTCAACATCATGTACTATTTTTTTGTTCATTCCCATGAATAACGCGGGTTTTATCGAAATCTCTCGAAAACGCGGAAAATTGGGCGGCTGCGGAATCTCGGTATCCTGTGGGGACAGGCTGAAGAACTCTTCCAATGAAACATAAGCACACTCGATTACAGTGACGTCTAAAATCCTGAGTGGTGATGGTGAGCTAGCTTGAAGTTGAAGGTCGCCAAAACCTTACAGGAGCCCAATGACCGGCAAAATTAAATGTGTACACTCATATACCGGTACTTTTCTTCTAGGGATGACCATGGGCAGGGAATTTGAAGCAAATATGTCCTATGGCGTTAAAAGGAAAAAACCAACAACTGGTGGACATTGAATTATAGTATGTGTGTTATTGTTCAAAGTAGTGTTTGCGACTTTGGTGATGATTTGTAAGAAAGGGTTTGCTCCCCACACCGGAGCTCGCGCTATTCCGCTAGTCGTGAGTCAGTCAAGTAGCGTCGGCGGAATAGCGCGAGCTCCGGTGTGGGGAGCAAACCCTTTCTGTGTTATTGTTGTCGAAAGTATATCACTCCCCAATGTTGCAACTCTGCGTGTTGGGGGGGGGGGGGGGGGGGGGGGGGTAAATGATGGTGAAAACTCTCATCCCGCGTTTCAAGTATGTTTCGTACCAGCATGTATGCTGGGTTTCAGTTAGGGAGATGGAGTGGTATTTTGTTTTCTACTCCACTGCTTGCGAAAAACCAGGCTGGGAGCATGAACAGTACACCGTGTGATGTGAGTATTGGCTGCCCCCGCCCCATGGCGAACCCATGTGGAGTTCACTCTGTTACCCGGTCTTATACTAGTACTCTTGCTAGTGAGAGTCAAGTGTATAGAAAAGCGCGACATCTGGTGTGGGGAGCAACCAACTTTACTATTGAGAAGTACAGGAAACACATGTCTAGGCTGACTGCTCAGGGAACTTTACAAATGGTGTCTCCTCCCTATACATGGCCAGTTGACATGAAATCACATCCCATGGTCCTAGATTCTGCGGTCCTCATGGACAAGTTGTCGCCTGATCAGAATGGCAGTCTTGGCAGATTTTGCTGTATTGTGATGTCTTTGTACCTGCATGTTGAGATGCACTCGACGTTTACGTGTTGTACACTGCGGATTCTTTTTTATTTCAAGGAAAGGGCAGAGGGCCTGAATATACCGCCAATTTTTAGGCATTTTTAGGGGCTAAACATTCCTTTTCTCCAGGCCAAACTCAATTTTGTACAGACACCAAAAAACACTGCGGGCTAGTATGTCTGGGTTTGTGTTTCTTACCGAAGCTGCCGCTCTTGTGTTTTGCTCCTTGCAGTCGGATGTCGCACATCTGGAGAAGCACTACGACGACCTGAAGGCCCGTCCCTTCTTCCCCGGTCTCGTCAAGTACATGGCATCCGGCCCAGTGTGCGCCATGGTGAGTTGTTCATATGTACTGTCCTTGTGTCCTTAGACTGTGCCGTATTTTGAAGTCGTCCTGTATCATCATTTCAAGTTTGCTCGCCGGTGTTTACTGTACGCAGAGCAGCTGGATTCCGATGCTTGTCATTCCTGTTTCATGAACAGCGTGTTTTGCTTCTTTTCCGTGTGTGTGTTGTTGTTGCTACGTTGTAGGTGTGGGAAGGTTTGAACGCTGTCAAGACTGGACGTGTCATGCTCGGAGCCACCAACCCAGTACGTAGTAAAGGCATTCCCATCTGTTCTGTGCTATCGTAGTATTCGCTGTTGAGACCTGCATGAGTGAACGCATTGTTAATTTGACGAGTTTCAGTAAAGAAGTTCTGCCAGGCAGTTAGAACTCGCAACCGGCGTGCGAAAAGAGCGCACCCAAGTCAAGTGAAACCTGTCTAAGCCGTCTGTTCTAGGGAGCTTCAAATTGTGGTCGCTGTGTACAGGTGGCCTCCTTATCTGCGGTCATTTCACTGGCAAATCATTTCTTGGTCTTCTAAGTCACCAAAAGCTTTATGCATATAACCCTAGGTACGTTCCCCCAGTATCATCATTGTTGTCTGATGATTGGCAGATAGCCATGAAACAGTTACAGCTTGATTCGGCCTAGTTCCATTGCTAGCTTGTGTCTTGTAAGCCGGGTGGTCACCCTATGTGAGTGATCACCTTGACAGGTTCTACTGTATTGCTTATGATTGTCGAGCAGTGCTCGATTCTGACATTGTGTCTGCTTGCTTCCCATGTGCTGTGTTTCTCTAGGCTGACTCCGCACCAGGAACCATCCGTGGTGACCTCTGCATCCAGGTTGGCCGGTACGTACTGTGAATCTACACTTGGACAATGCTGCCTTTCCATATTCGCCTCTCCGTCTTACTTTTAGTCAAACTCCCTGGCCCACTGAACCCATAATAGTTCCAGTACTGTATAAGCAGAGATATTCGTCTAGAAATTAATTTCGTCCAAGGAGTTTTTGGACTGAATAGAGTGCCGGAGTAATGTCGATTTGGCCAGTTTTTCAATACACTCATGGTCCATGGACGCAATTTTCAACCGGACCCACTCCTTTTCTTTGAGGTGGACGACATTATTGACAGACTAAAATTTCTGCCTGTACAGTGTTGTGAAATAGCATACATGGCTTAATTATAAGCACGTTCAAGTAGACTTGACAGTGTCAAGAGTCCATGGCCAAGAGTGTGCAACTGTGCTTGTGTATCAGAGTGCAGTGCACTGCTTTCATTACCAAGCTGGCTCACATCATTCCTTGTACTCTTACTCTCTCAAGCCCCCAAGTTCTCGTACCAGCACACCTGTTTTGGCTTGATTCATTCAAGTACCGATGACATCTCTCTAAATTTGGAGTGCATGAACTCTGTTCCACCTGGTAGTTGGTTTCAAGCCACGTGAGGAAGTGTGTTCTTTTCCGCAGTGTACGGGTGTCGCTTTATGAATGGAGGCAGCGCACCGTGCATCTGACCCATAGAAAAGAACACAGTTGCATGCTCCTCTCTTAGCTGTATGAAGAAGTAAACGGCGGAATTACGCTGTCTTGCACCATATGTGGACTTACACACCCTGGTTTATGTATTCTTCGTAGCAGATGTGGGTGTGTGGGTATTGTACCATCGCCTGGGAAGGCTACTTTTGTACTGAACTTGCATACAGTGGCACATTGCTTGGCATAGGGTGTCTCTTGTTTCGTAGCTTGGTGTATCTCAGCCAGGCCAGGTGTTTTTAAGTTGACTGTATCATTGGAGCTGGCTGTGTTGACTGCCGTCGGAGATTCCGTGTTTGCCTCTCCTGGTTAGCTAACTGGTCTTTGGTTCACTTCAGGCACTTGTAACATCATGTTTGTGTTCATTTGACTTTCTCTGGTGTGCAGCAACATCTGCCACGGCAGCGACTCCGTCGAGAGCGCCAACAAGGAGATTGACCTGTGGTTCAAGAAGGAAGAGCTTGTCAACTGGACCTCCACCCAGAAGTCTTGGGTGTACGAATAAATTATTTTCTTCCAACTGTACCGATTTCAAGACTCGAGCTTTAGTTTGAATGTCCATCTGATTCTTCCGCAGTGAAACAAGATTGTAGAAAGCCAGTATTGTGTTTTTCTGTGTTTGCTGACTGGAAAGATTATTGCCCGGTGCATGTCGAGGCTAGATGGCAGTTCAAGTGGAAACACTAGAAAGGATGCGCTACACGAAAATTCGTAAGATTTGGCCACTATGGCCTGGAGCAACGGAAGTTGTAAGAACTTTCCACGGAAAAAGGGCTGAACAACGAAAATCTTTTTCTTTGCAATCACCCTACAGCTCAGTGTAGTGCCACGTAGTGCATTTTGTGGCACCTGTTTATTGTCGTCAAGAGGGTAAAGGCCGATTCACAATACAACATGCGACACATGCGACGAGCTGCGACAGCGACACACGGTTCACAATATTCTTCATGTTTGCGACATCCTCATGCACAAGTAGTACTATGCACGTGCACTGCAAGTGCACCCAGGGTCGAAACTGTACTCCATTTGTGTATGTCGCAAAAGTTGAACTTTCTTCAACTTCTGCGACAGCTTGCGACAGGCATTTTCTTGTCGCAACTGTCGCAAATCGCGCGTCGCAGAAAGTTGTACAGGTAGACTCCCTTTAATTCGAACCTCAAATTGCCAAGCCCTAACTTCTAATTATCCGGAACTTCTAAATGCAGCCCCATGCACTGATATGTATGTCAAAATCCTTGAAATCGCATGCTGAATATTTTTTGCACATTATTTTTTATTAGCATCAGGGAGTCGTCAAATACCGGGAGTGGAAACGCCGTTAATCTTGATTATCCATGCTCGCCTCGCGCAAAATTTTTGCAGTGCCTTGAGTACCTCAGCGTCGTCAAATGTAGCCTTGAGTATTTTTTGGGAGAAAGCGTCCATCAGAACGTGTATACAGAGATATTTGCAGTGGTCTGCTCGTTTACTAGTAGGAGGACACCTAATTTATCGGTAGGCGTTATCGCAGTGTTGCGATGTATGACTGGAGGCCCGATTCACGCGCGGATAGTGACGTGACTTTTTATGTAATTTATCGAGGAAAATAGCTCAGCCTCAGTAATCAAAGCCACTTGGTTCGACCCACGAAAAAACTTCTCGTAACCATTGTTCTTTCCATATAGGTGCTACCTGTGAATTTTCTCGGTGTAAGATGATATGCCACTGACTTTTTGAGGGACCCTTTGTTTCTAAAACATTATTGTTTTTTAATGACGACCACATTATTATAAAGTCAAGGAATTTCTCTTATTTTCTTCTTCAGTGTAAGAGAACATCACCGCTTTCAGTATGTCTCATGTCAAGAGGAAGCATGACAACGTATATGCACCACCAACACTGAGAATCCAATTACAGATTTGGCCGATTGTGGCGAGTATCACAGAATTGACAATGCACACCGAATTAAACTGTTCTAAATCCCTCTCTCTTTCTGTCTCGCTTCTCTTTGCCAACTTTGGGTGTCAGCAGTTACGCATGCGTACATGCACGCACCCACTCACTGGCATGCACAAACTGCACATGCACACACACGGCATGCACGAACTGCGCATGCACGCACATTCACACACATACACACACACACACCTGGTCCTGGTAAACACTGCCATTACAGTCACCTGTCCCCTTGCGGGGCCGACAACATGAAAGCGACGGCAGAAAGTCGGCAGTCTGCCAAGAGGTCAGGGACCATATTCAATCGGCACGACGAGAGAGCCATCTTTGGCAGCACACACACACACATACTGACATGCCCACACTGTGCATGCACACACACGGTGGATGCTCATGTGTCTCAGATTCAATTATCTTTTCAAAGTTTGGTAGATTCGGAGACATGTTGGCCAGAATTTCATGGCCGAAAGTCGCCAACACCGGCTTGAGGCTAGTTAACTCAGGCTTTCTGCTAGCTTCCAGTTCTCTTCTCACCGCAACAACACACCAACCACAATGGTATCTTTTAGGTGTCTCTGCAGTGCAGTTGACTATGGCGGTGGGCTGGGGTGCTGCTGCTGTTGCTGCTGCGGATGATGCTGGCATGATGGACGGCTTTCTTGCCACTACTGTACCGCAAATTAAACTTGAAAACACAGCTGATGTGGTCTCCAGGTCTGGACAAAACGCACACGGAAAACAGCGCAGTAATTCTATATTAAGATTGTCACAAGTATTCATTCAGGTAGAGAATGCCATGTGTATCCTGATTCCTGACCATCACATAGTTTCTTAAATCTACCATTGCATTTCTTTTTACGAGTTTCACATAAAATTTTATGCACGATCATTGGGCAAGTAAAAGAGAAGCTTCCCTGGGTCTGTACTTGACTGCAGGTTGATAAATCGAATGCTCCGTACATGCAGCATGCATGTGTAACAAACCAAAACAAAGCTATTCAGTGATAGAAGTATTCACTCGATAAAGCTTGGTTTTACTCACCTCTCGCCCAAGTTCCTAAAACATCAGCCGTAAAATGGCTACCGATATCTCCCTGTCCAGCATGACCATGCACTGCCGACGAATCCACGACGAAGAGTGCTACAAAAGGGAAGCGGAAATCTGACGAGGTTTATGTATGGAGACGTCTAAACTGCTCCGCTTGCAGGAAGAACCAAAATAAATTTTGACATTTTGAAAATCCCGCGGAATTGGTGAATGTGGCACAAAAAAGATTATTTGAAAAAAATCGGCGTGCTCCATGATCCAGCGCGAGGCGAGCATGGATCACGCTCGCGCATCTCGTTTCCACTCCCGGTATTTGACGACTCCCTGATTAGCATCAACGAAAGATAGGTAGTAGTAGTAGTAGTAGTAGAATTTATTATTTTGATAGGGAAGGCCCTACAGACGTTGCCGTCTTGTTACAGGGAACCCTAAGTGCTCTTTACAGAGCGAAACAAAAACGGATAGATGCTCAACCTGACGACACGAGACAGGCAGAGAATTCCACCTATCAGCGCCAAGGAAAGAAATGGAGAACATGCCATATCTAGTGGTAGCAGCGGGCAAAGAAAGTGAAGAGAATGATTGCCCTCTAGTGCGCCTCTCGGTGCAAGTAGCAGCCGACTGGAGGGTGAACATTGAGGAAAGAAGAGGACTTGTAAGCTGATGAATACAGCGGAAAACAAAAATAAAAAGCCTCAAGTTGAGACGAGATTCGAGGGAGTATAACTTAGCGTGCCGCAAAACAAGTTAGGTGGTCGTACCGGTCATGTACAACAGATCATCAAAACACTGGATCGACACAAAATCATTTGACATTATTATCTTCATCTTCTACTTCTAGTGAAGAAGTTTGTCAGTCACTGCAGCTTTCCTGAAACAATTTCAACGGAAAAGAACTGTGCTGCCTAATCCGCGTCATGAAAGGCTGTCGGACAGCAGCACGTCGTTCTGAAGAACGGAAGCGAAGCATAGGCATAGACAATATTTACGACCATAGTGTTGTTGTGCGCCAACATCTCCGCGCACGAGCTGGCGCGGCAAGAAAGGCCATCGAGATCCGCGAAGAGAGTCAGCCACCTGGAAGAAGTCGTCTTCAATCAAACCTTTGCAATTTGCCTTGCACGGGCTTGAACCAAATTTCGAGAGAAGGTGGGTTTCTTGAACGCTATAGTCGATCCTGCAGCGGACCATCGATCGATTTTTGAGCTACTCTTGGCTAGAGAAGGAGAAAAGAATGAACTTCGAATTACAAGGATAGCAACTGAATCTTACTTCGAAATAAGCGTTCAAAGAGCATAGCCAATGTACTGTAAACTGCTCTTCTGTACGAAGACTGGGTTCGAATTATCCAACCGGCGCACCTTTCGTACTTGGAATAATTATTATGCATTCGATTTTGACTTGAAGTGACTTGCAGAAGATTGGTACGACGAAAAAGTTCGAATTACACGGAAGGTTCGAATTATACCGTATTCGAATTAGAGGGAGTCTACTTGTATTGTGAATCAGGGAGTACAGTCGTCCCTCTCTAATCCGGCACCTTTTGCTACGGCGTTTTCTGCTGGATTAACGAGGGTGCTGGATTAAGAAATCCTGCCCTCTGACCCGGCCCTACCCAATTGCATGCATGTGTCATACGTCAAAACGCAGGGTTTTTCCGTGTCGATCCAAGTATTTGATGCACAACTTTATATTTTCAACTGTTCTCCAGGAATATACACAGTGACGAAGTGATAAAGTAAAACAGAGAACATGTTCACATGACTGTACTCTTGCACACACACGCACACACACACACACAGGCTTGAAAATTGGCAAGACACTACTCCTTGCTAAAATAAGAAAGTATGGTTGACTGCTTAGCAGTTGTCTCCTGGACAACATTGACCCTCTTGAGAAGGCCACGCAAGCAGTCGACATCATGCAGGTCGAACGACGGATGTCTTCCAGTTCGAAGCAAACAATTGCATCAGCAAGTGCGCGGGATGCTTGTGCCAGAGTTGGAAGGCTGTTGGAGTGCGCATCCAAGATGTGCTAGAGCTGTTAGCCAGTTAGTTGTAGAACGTCAGTACCGTCGGTCAGTGTCGTGCATCGTCGCTGATTGTTTTGTAACTGGTGGTGTTAGTGGACAGTATAGCGTAACTTGTAGTTCCTTGGTCTTTCTCTTTGTATAAATTGAGTTCGGGTTCGGAAAAGTCCTAACAACCAACCGAACTGAACTCTCCCGCGCGAGGTCGAGTACAGTTGTCAACTGAATTCGATCGATAACTGAACGCGATTTACGACTGCCGGATTATGAAATCAAACTACGTGCAGTTTGAGCGATTCGTTTCAAAAAGTCACTGCCGGAGGCGGAATTCAAGTGCCGGATTACGATGTAGGAATTGAACGAAAAAAATCGGTTTCATCAGAAAGTGCGCCGGTTGGCAAGGGTTCCGGATTAACAAGTGCCGGATTAGAGAGGGACGACTGTAGTACAATACCGGGAGGTGACGTCATGACACGGGCACACATCCGGGATTACGAGCTTTGCCTCACAAAAAAAATACAAACCGCGCGAAAATTCAAATTTTTGCTCTTTTGACAGCGTTGAGAAACCTTCAAATAGTGACGAGAAGACCAGATCAACGTGCAGACGTATCCCTTCGTGACAAGCTGCCACTTGTTCTTTTCAGCTCGAGCCTTTTTTGGGAGCTACTCTGGTACATCGTCCACACTGCTGCCAAGTCTCGACTTCCCAAAATGGATGGAAGGGACGAATATGGAGGACGCTATCCTAGGTAAGTAACGTGATGGAATTTTCTCATCTTGACATGGTGTAACACGAACCTGAATTTCTCATTTGGACCCACTCGGACACCTCACCAAGTTGGGATATTTCGAAACTATACCTATTTGTCTACCATTCTACTTCATCTCAACGTGTTAGCTAATGTAACTCTTTGGAAAACTCATTCCGAAAATTTTGAAACTTATTTATTTGTATAGACTTGAACAAAACTTCTTGACAGCATTCTGCCACTCTCTTCAAGTCGTTCTATGAATTGTTTTGAAAAATGCTACGAAATGCTACGATAAATGGTACGCGAAGTACGACAGTTCGTGACGTTTCCCGGGACACAGCGCTCCACAGAAAAGTGACCTGAGGCAAAGCTCGCCCGCCTGAATGTGTGCCCGTGTCACCTCCCGGTATTGTACTACTCCCTGTTGTGAATCGGGCTTAAAGGGGAAGTTAAGGGAAAAATTAAAATTTCACCAGTTGTAGTCTTCGGGGTGCTGAGTCGAATGGTCGTGGTCCGAGGAAGCTGAGACGCTCCCTTCCTACTTGAATCCCAATCGAACTCGCGCACTTCCACCGAAACTGGGTGACTGCGCCCTACTAGATGGGGATTTGTATGCAAAATGTCACTAAAAGCGCCATTTCGTTCTTATAAAAGCACGGATGACCGCGATTGGCCCATATGTTGTAGTCTTTTGGACGCTGAGTCGACTGGTTTTGGTCCGAAAAGGCTGCGATGCGGCGTTCCTCCTTTATTCCCAATCGAACATGGTTGAAGAAGCGGTCACGTGCTCCTGCGTACACCAGTCACCTGGTCACCGTGCCTGCAGGGTACAACTTACTAGCCTGTTTTGACCTTTTTTGGGTGCAGTCCTGTCACTCGAGTTGAACCTTGGTGTGAAAGTTGTCACCTGCTGGCGTGGTGACCAGGTGATTTTTTTTTAGAATAGTTTTCGGAATATTGCTCAGGACCGCTCCACAATTACTCTCATATAGTTTCTAAATGATTAGTTAACAGACGCCCAAATTGACCTTTTTTGGGTGCAGTCCTGTCACTCGAGTTGAACCTTGGTGTGAAAGTTGTCACCTGCTGGCGTGGTGACCAGGTGATTTGGGCACCCAGGACCACGTGACCGCTTCTTCAACCATGTTCGATTGGGATTAAAGGAGGAACGCTGCATTGCAGCCTTTTCGGACCAAAACCAGTCAACTTAGCGTCCAAAAGACTACAACATATGGGCCAATCGCGGTCAGCCGTGCTTTTATAAGAACGAAATGGCGCTTTTAGTGACATTTTGCATACAAATCCCCATCTAGTAGGGCGCAGTCACCCAGTTTCGGTGGAAATGCGCGAGTTCGATTGGGATTCAAGTAGGAAGGGAGCGTCTCAGCTTCCTCGGACCAAGACCATTCGACTCAGCACCCCGAAGACTACAACTGGTGAAATTTTAATTTTTGCCTTAACTTCCCCTTTAAGGGTCTTGCCGTCGTACACTGAGCACGTGCATGCCGCGCCTGCAGGCCTGGCACTGCATGCAGTAGACTTCTGTACTCAGCAGGGCGCCGTAAAATATTTTACGACTCCTTGCCCTGAGTCCCTGGTACTCAGAAAAACTTGAAGTGCCTACATTTGTGCAAACTTTCGAATGAGCCCATCTTCGTAGCTGGTCCGTCGAACGCCACGGACTTCGTCACGTGCATCCTCTATACTACAGTCCATTTCAAAACTATAGACGCGTAGGGTTTTTGAAATATTTCAAATTTGGCTGGACCTTTTTGAGAATAGTTTTCGGAATATTGCTCAGGACCGCTCCACAATTACTCTCATATAGTTTCTAAACGATTAGTTAACAGACGCCCAAATTGCACCATACCAGATAAAGCAATGCTGACGAGTCATAAACAAGAGAGCATAAAGTTAATGTCTAGTGCTGTATGGCAGCTTCCGAGACAGCGAGTCGAGCGGATGACTCAGCCACCAGTCCGGGTGCGAATACAGCCGTCGTGCACCACACTGGCACGAAGAAGGGCAAAGCTGAACCTGCAGTGGATCCATACCATCACTGCAGAGCATGCATGGCTCACCACATTTGTCAGAGACCATTGCAGCTTATCTCTTGAGGAGAGCGGCAGCAGCTCGACCAGTACCACCGGTTGCTGCGAAAACCACAGGGATGAAGGTTCCGCGCTCGATCTTGACACGCTGTTCGTATCGCCTCGGTTTTCACGTTCATGACGCTGGTAGCAAGCGGTGATGGAAGAGGATCGATTTGAGGGAGCAAAGGGGTTGAAAACTCGGATATCGAGAAAGACTCTCTTAAATCGACCCCCCCCAAACACCACTCGCCGCAACATCAAGTCGAACCTGGTCTTCTGTGGAGGCAGTCTTGTAGTGGAGCTGCTCACCAGATAGCGGTTGCAAGTGTGGCTCGATGGCGACACTATTCGCGACGCGTTTTAATAGCGAGGAAGTTATGTCCCGCACCTCATTGTGTCGAAGTGACGGGAAACCTCCAGTGCAGCATGTCGGGGCATGGGCCAC